TGGGGCATGACTGAGCCTGAGGCCCCCCACCACCTCAGCTCAGAAAAGCCTGGGGCGCTTCCTGCAGCTCGGTGGTTGTTGCCAGTGTGGTTGTGCTTGTCGAGGGTGTGTGGCCAAGGCCCTTGGCCCCCACCCTTGGGACTGGATGCAGGTGTTGCGGGGCATGGCTGAGGCCCCTGGCCCTCTCCCCTTTCTGGTTTGGTAGCTCAGGGGACTTCTGGTCCTTCTAGGTGTTACAGGTGTTCTTTGGTGAAATGAGACCTTTCCTAGTTAATGTCAAACTCTATCTCTCATTGTGAGTGCTGTTTTTTTCTTTCAGTTTTGTGTTGGATTATTTGCTGTTCCCACCGCTTAAACTCTGCACTGGAACTAATTTGTTGTCCTTTGCTTACTTCTAAAATGGGGGGACTTTCTGTGGGAACCAGCACTTGAGTTCTGTGGTTGAGCTAAGTTGCTGCTTTGCTGCTGATTCCTTAGGGAAGGCTTTTTGTGCAGCTCAGGTTTTAATGGTTGATTTTATAGGTACTTCTGGGTCTAGTGAAATCTGTTGCACCTGGGTTGTGTAGAAACACTGGTCTGGGCCTGAGTCTTTTCATGAAACTGTACCCCATGCAAATCTATATTCCTGACAAGTCTCCTCTGAGTGGTCCTATGCTGATTGGGGGGCAGGTCAGCTGTCCTTACTGTGCCTCAGTGTTCCCCCAGTGGGCCCATCTCCCCCACCGCCTGTGCTCTAAACACTTCCCATGGGACAGGCCGTGGTCTGGTCCCTTGCGATGACTCACTGGCCTCTGAGTGGCTCCGTTTTTTCAGTTGTTGTGTCTCCTCGGTCCTGTGTGGGACCATGGGAACCATATTAGTGGTCTTGCTGGCCTGGGGGCTACCAAAGTCCTCTTCTCCCCTGCTACGTTCAAGCAACTTCATCTGAAAGGCACAGCTGTGGCTTTTGCCAGCTCCTGCTCCGTGCACTTAGCAGCTCCAGCCTGGAAGTGGCTGGGATTCAAAATGGTCAGAGTGGTTTTTTCTTTCTCTCCTCATGGCTTCTCCCACCTTCATGCACTCTGTAGGTCTCTCCTCCTCTTCTCCTGAGCTATAGCAGCCCCAGCTTGGCTGTTGTTGATTTTTTATAGTTGTAAGTTAGTTGATTTGTGGGAGAGAGTGATGCTGGGGACCGTCTATTCCACCATCTTGACCAGAAGTCCTTTCTCATACTTTTTATGCTGCGTGATATGTAGTGATGACGTTCCTGTTTCATTTCTGGTGTGATTTGTCTCTTCTGTCTTTTTATCTTTGTTAGTCTTTCTAGAGGTTTATCAGTTTTGAGTTTTTCGAAGAACGAGGTTTTTATTTCGTTGATTTTCTTTATTGTTTTATTTTCAATTTCATTTAAGTTTGCTCTTGTCTTAATTATTTCCTTCCTTTTGCTTGCTTTGAGTTTATTTTGCTCTTCTTTTTCTGGTTTCTTGAGGTGGGAACTTAGATTATTGCTTTGAGACCTTTTCCGATGTGAACATTTAGCAGTATAGATTTCACTCTCAGTAGTGCTTTAACTGCATTCCACATATTTTGATATTTTTTGTTTTCATTTTCATTCATTTCTATGTGTTAAAATTTTTTGAGACGTCCTCTTTGATCCAGTATGTTGTTTAATTTTTGTGTTTGGAAATTTTTCTGTTATCTTTATTTTATTGATTTCTCTTTTGATTCCTTCTGGTCAGAGAACATATTTTGTATGATCTCAGTTATTTTATATTTGCACAAGTTTATCTTATGACCCAGAATATGGCTTATTATGGTGAATGTTCTGTGGACATTTGACAAAATTTCTTTTTACTGTTGCTGGATAGATTGTTCTATATGTGTGTGATTACCTCCTGTTGTTTGATAGTGTTGTTTAATTCTTTTATATACTTGCTTATTTTCTGTGTGGTGGTTCTATCAGTGTCTGAGAAGAGGGGGTTAGAAACTCTCATCTATAATTGTGGATTCCTCTTATTTTCCTTTCACCCATATCAGTTTTTTTTCTTTATGTATCTTGAGTCTCTGTTGTTCGTCATGTACATATTTAGGACTGTTTTGTATTCATTGTGGGATGATATTTTTATCATTATTGATAAGTATATTTTTTTGCTTACAGTAATTTTCTGTGCTTTGAAGTCTACTTTTCTTATATTTACTATAACCACTCCTGCTTTATTAATGTTTACATAGTATATCTCTTTCTATCCTTTTGCTTTCAACTTACCTCTGTCCTTGTATTTAAGTGAGTTTCTTTTAGGTAACATATAGTTCAATTATATTTTTTAATATACTGTGCCTGTCTCTATCATGTAATTTGTATATTTAGACAATTTACACTAATTTACACTTAAAGGAATTGTTGATGCATCTCCACTTAATTATTTGTTTTATGTTTCCTCTATTTCTCTTTCTACTGCTTTTTTTTTTTTTTTTGCCTTCCTATAGGTTACTTGAACATTTTTTTGTGATTCTCTTTTGTAAAAGGCGAAAGATTTCTTTTGATTTATTTATAGTGTTTTAGAGTATGTTGATTTGTATAATTTTCTTACTGGTTGCTCTAGGTATTACATTATACATACATAAGTTATCACAGCCTACTGGTATTGACATGTACTCTGTGAGTGAAATGTAGGCAACTTTCTTCTAATTGTTTTCCTCTACACTCTCCACTTTTTAAATATAATTATCTCAAGTATTTTCTGTATGTAGATTGAGCACTACATCAGATGATGATATACTTTTTGCTTCGCCATCAAAGATGATTCAAGAAACTTCTTTTTTTTTTTTTTTTTCGTGACCGGCAACGGATCGCAACCCTCAGTGTCGCGCCCGTACCGGACCGGGACCGGCAACGGGATCGCAACCCTCAGTGTTGCTCCTGCAACTCGCTCAGCCAGTGAGCAGCCGGTCTGTATGTGGGATCCGAACCCTCGGCGGGAGCGCCACCGCGCTTCACAAGTGGCGCACTGTAGCAGTGCGCCACCGTTGCCCAGAGTTTTTAAATGTAAGGAGCAAGACCTGGAGATGAAAGTGGAGTTACTTTATCTTGGCCAGAATTGTAGATCTTTGAATTAGTTTTGACAGACTACAGTTAGCCAGTAAAACTTTTAAATTATTGCTATATACATCTCTATACATATACATCTATGTTGTGACATTTTGAAAGATTTTAGAGGAAAATTCTTATTTATTTTAGACTATTTTTCTCTGTGACTTGGTCCTCAGCCCTCAGTTTCCATGTATACGTGGTGAAATCTTGAACTAGATCCTCTAGGTTTCCTTCAACTTAGTATTCTATAATTTTATGATAATGGAAATAGCTTATTTAAGTTAAGGTATGATACTAATGCCGGGATAGAAGAAAGAACTTGGACTTTGGAGCTAGGCTTATGTTTGGATTCTGAAACATGGAGAGGTAGTTTTTACATAGCCATGGACACCATAACCAATGTGCCTAGACTTGCATCTGGACTTTACCTTTACTAGGTTTGTGACCTTGGGCAAATTATTTCTCTTTGTCTCATTTTTCTCAATAATAAAATGGGGGTGATAGTACTGATCTTATAAGGTTATTGTGAAGATGAAAAGATTTATCATTTATAAAGTACTTAGAACAGTGCTCACACATGGTATGCACTATTTAACTGTTTATTACTTACCAACTGTATGACCTTAAGCCATTCTTAATCTGAATCTCAGTTTTTCCATTTGTAAAATAGGGATAGTTATTCGCACACGCACATATTTTTTAAAATATGTAAAAATACATCTTGTACAATAGTTAATGTCATGTTGGTATATTTAATGGGAATTAAATTAGAAAATGTTTTTATTTTATAAGGTTTCAAATTTTTTATCATCTAAAGAAATCTTGATTTATTTTCTTCCTTTAATTGCATAGAGCAAAAAGATGCTGAGGGATGGGAGACTGTTCATAGAGGAAGGCCTGTTCGTTCTCGATCAACAGCAGTGATGCCGAAAGTTTCCTTAGCAACAGAAGCCTTGAGGTCAAAGGATGACAGCGATAAAGAAAATGTATGTCTTTTACCTGATGAAAACATGCAGAAAGGTGAATTTGTTGAAGATGGAATTTCGAATACTATAGAATCTCATCCTAAAGACTCATTACACTCTTGCGACCATCCACTTGCTGAAAGAACCCAGGTAATACATTCTGAAAATCCTATTATTGCCTTTTTGAAAGGGGTGTGTGTGTTCTGGAATGTGTTATTTTTCTGCTTCATTTTTAATTTTTAACTGTGAAACATTTTAGATCTACAGAAAATTTGCAAGAATATAACAGTGAAACACACATCCCCATCCTGTTTGCTTAGATTTACAGATTAATATTTGCCATATATTTTTTTTTTGACTCATATGTCACACACACACATGCTAATCATTTGAGAGTAATGTGCAAACATTGTAACCATTCACCTTTAACTACTACTACAGCATGTATCTCCAAAAAACAAAGAAACTCTTTTATATAACCACATTATAATGATAAAATTCATGGAATTTAGCACATAAAATATTATCTAGTTTATAGTCTATATTTAAAATTTTGTAGTTATGTCAATAATTTCTTTATAGATTTTCCCTGCTCTAGGACTCGTGGCTCACTCGGGTGAGTGCGGTGCTGGTAGCTCCGAGGCCACAGGTTCGGATCCTATGTAGGGATGGCCGGTGTGCTCACTGGCTGAGTGTGGTGCGGACCACACTGTGCTGAGGGTTGCGATCCCCTTACCAGTCAAAAAATAATAATAATAATAATTTTGAAGAATACATTGCAGTGCTTTTGTATGTGTGTGTCACAGGTTCGGATCCTATGTAGGGATGGCCGGTGTGCTCACTGGCTGAGTGTGGTGCGGACCGCACTGTGCTGAGGGTTGCGATCCCCTTACCAGTCAAAAAATAATAATAATAATAATTTTGAAGAATACATTGCAGTGCTTTTGTGTGTGTGTGCGCGCGCGCGCACTGTCCTTTGTTCATTGTTTGTTCATAATTCAATATAGCTTATACATTTTTGACAGGCTAAAGTAATTGTCCTTAGTGTCATATCTAGAGGGAGATAATATCAAGTTGTCCAGGTTTGTTTTTAACTTTGAATGCTTTATTAAGGTTGTGTTCTCTTGCTTTATTTGGATGTTACTGAAAATGGAGATGAAATTTTGAACTTTTTCTACTTTTACTTCCTGCAAATCAAGTGTAGAATAATTTGCTAATATCTAAAATAATTTTTTAGAGTTAATATTCCCAATATTTCTTCTGTTAGTCTAGTTGAAGTTTATTTTACTTATTTCATGAACCAATATATTCGTTTACATATTTGTTTATATAAACGTTCGTGTTTAATTGGTATAATTTTATGTAAAATGGTTGATGAAATATGGGAGATATTCTTTGATATAGTACAGGGGCTAAGTAAATCAATTACAAAATAGTTGTAATATTTTCAGTCTAGGATAATATCTGTTTTTTAAAACTCTCTCCTTTATTTCCCCACTGGAAATGTTCTTCAACTTCCTTGTCTTCTCTTAATGATGATAATGGCTCTTAATCTTACATTGTTTTTGATGTTTTATAACTCTTTAATGTGTGTACGTTATATGCCCAAGTGAGATTGCAAGCTCCTTGAGGGAAGTATCTTATGTTGCGCTTTAATTTCCCTCAATATGGAACAGAGTCCTAGACACATAGGAAGTAATCAGTATATATTTGTTGGAAGTAACTAAGAAACTCTTTAATATAGGAAAGCTACATTTAAGATACTTAGTGAAGAAATTACTTTTCATATCACTTAAATATCTAGCATTTTTGATAATGTGTGTTTTTGCTAAAAAATATAACAATATAAAAATTATGCTTGTTTTGTGTAGTGTATAAATTTATGATATTGGGATTTCAGGAATAATCCCTACATAGAACTTTTGAATAATTAAACTATTGCTAAAATGTTTCAGTATAAAAATTCACTGCTGATTGAAGCCAAATTGGTAATAATATTTGTTTTCTCCACTGTTACTCTAAAAATAGAAGTAGCATATTTATATCTTTTCTCAACATTACTTTATAATTTAGCTTTGATTTTGTTATATAAATGATATTGAGTTTTTAATAAACAGGGTTGACTATATTGTAAACATCAGTAATGCTAATATAAATATTGCCAAGAAGATTATAAACCATGGTGACTGACATATAAATAATGTTGATAGCAATATAAACAAAGTGATACAATTTAAATAATGCTTATGCTAAAATCACCACTTTGGGACACTTTAAATTCTGACCAATAGTAGAACTTTTAAAGTAGTTTATAAGACTTGGCCAAGTTTAATGTTTGTGTAAATAATTAATCAAACTGGAGGTTTTATGGCCACTGCAATGTTTATCTCATGTTTATTTAAGAAGTGATGTGGGTGAGTTTTAAATTCACAATTTTAGATTTTAGCTCTCCAACTTGGATTGTAACTAGAAAACATAGCACCATTCTTTCTCTACTCTGTTAAAAGATGAAGATAAAGGCTTGGTTCTATTTACTAAACTAGAACATTTTTAAAGAATGAATATGTGTTTGGCCTAAGCCAAAGATACTGTTTTTTAGATTGTTTTCACATTTCTGTTGGTTTTGTGTCAAATATTCCTCCTGGAATGGGGAGGGTGTCTAAAGTATATGAATCGCATAATGAGACACTGCTTGCTTTATATCTGCACACCTAGGTCAACCTTTTCTCTTTTAGATCTGAGAATTGGCATCATGTGCCATATAGGTCTTTATTAAAGATACTTTGAGGTCATGTTAGTATTATTTGAAGAGAGCAAGTTTTATATTTTTGAGTAAAATGCCCTCAAAATATATTTTGATAAAAAATGTTTTCAGGATGTTTTTAGAAAATGCTGAGTATCCTCATTTGTTATTAGACAGTCTTCACAAAAGACAACATAAATACCTTTAGTTGTATAAGACAAAGTGTTATATTTGTGAACAGATTTCCTTTGTGAGAGATATGACATACTTTTTACAAGTTGGCCTACTAAAAGAAAATATAATTACAGTATATATTGCTTAATTTCTTAGAGTGCTTCAGATAGTGCCCGATACCTAGTAGGCATGCAAGTAAAATTTATGCTGCTTAGTAGTTTCTTTCCTTTGGTTACACTTGAAATACACAAAAAAGATGAGTGAGTTGTCTGTCAGCTAGTCAAGTACTGCTTCACTGTTGATAGGATAAGCAGAGTTAGCTCTTTTAGAGTGGAATAGTGGATAAGTATTTTTTATTATCTCTGATGTATTCTATAAATATATTTTATTAGTTCACAGTGAGTACACTGGATGATGTCAAGAATTCTGGTAGTAGTCAAGAAAATTCTGTGCGAACTTCTGAAATACCAGCTGTTCACATTGATACAGAGTGTGTTTCAACAACTCAGCAAGCTGACACACCTCCTTTGCAAACAAATGATGACAAATTTCTGGCAGAGAAAGCAAGGATAGAGAGTGAAATGGATCCTTCAGATATTTCAAATGTGAGTGCTGCTAACTTGGTAAGAACAACTTATCAGAACTCTGAGTAAATATATATGAGGCATGAACCCCAATAATAATAACTTGTATTATTTATTACTTTATACTTCACAAAACATTATACATGTTATTTTATTTTAATATTTTATTTTTGTAGTAATCTTCTGATAATTAATATTCTTTTTGTTTTGTAGAGGAATAAAGTGAGACTGTGAGAGTTAAATAATTTGTTCAAATCCTGCAGTTTGTATGTGATTTGATCCAATACTCTTTGGTCTAGGATTAAGAAACTAAACCAGTAACAGTAAAGTCTTCCATGCAGAAATGGTGCCTTCTGGACTTACTTTTAAAAACTCCCTCAACGGAGTAATTTAAACAGCTACTATCATTTGATTGGAGTTGGTCTTTAAGATAAAATTTATTTACCATCCTATTCCAGAATCTCTAAAAATGCATTGATTTTCAGTTATTTATAGGTTAATGTTTTGGATGACTATGTATTTCTGTCCATCTCTTTCTATTGCTACAGTATTAAGATACTTAACCTAGGGATAATGTAGAATAGGTCATGCTAGCTTTGTTTAAAGAAGTAACTTTCCAAAGAAATAAGCGTATATAAAAAGTTGAGAAAAGTTATTCAAATTTTACTTTTTAAAGGGCCATTATTACTATACTATATACTATATACTATAGTAATTTCTTCCAAAACTTAATGCCTTATCATGCTGAAAGATGCTATCAGTAGATAGTATTGGGCAAAATTATACATCTTACAGAGATAGTAGCAGTAGATATAGATGAAACTTGACATGGATAGTTTAAGGGAATAAAAGAATATCAGGGATATAGTAATAAGAAAAACAAATGTTTAGATTCCTTTAATAAGGTAAAGCAATTTGTTTTTTATCTTCTGTCTTTTAGTGATGGACTTTTTAAAGGTTGAACATAATTATGGTCAAATAAGAAATGCATTTAATGTATGGGGTAGAAATTGGTCATATATATTTTTTGTTTTCATACTATATATTATAACAAGTTATTTATTTTACAATTTGGTTCTGTGAGAATCAAATTTCAGAAGAGGAAAATGATCCCATACTTGAATAAGCAGGAAATAATTACTTCCCTCATCCTCTTTTATTTTGATCACAAATATAAGCTTGTTGTAAAATCATGAAAACCCTTTGTTATTTTGAGGGTCAAATTTGCATATTTGAAAGAAAACAAGTTAAGTTTTAAATATGAATATTAAGTGTATTAAAAGAGTTTTAACTAAACCAAGATTTAAAAAAAATTTTTTTTTCATTTGTTTTGCTAGAGATACTCTAGATAAGCACCTTATTGTTTAGTTTCCAAGTAGGGGGTTATATAGAATTCCTGCAGTTATGAATGAGCTATTTTTTCTTTTCTTTCTCAGTACGATATTGTTATATAGCTGGTTAAAGTAAAAAAAAAAATTGCTGTTCACTTGTAGAAACATTAGCAAAAAATGACTGTGAAAACCTTTCTATTTAAGGTCAACTTTTGCCATCATTATAATAATATGCCATTATATTACCTAGCTTCCATTGATCTAATTTTTTAGATTTGCTAACATTTTCAAGTTTTAGTGAAAATTTGGAAATTTTCAAAATAACGACATGCGTATATTTATTTGAAGTTCACTGTGTGAAAATAAAGTTGTATATGGATGATTGAATCATATTTTATCCATAAGCTATACTGCAGGTTGAGTATTCCTTATCCAAAATGCTTGAGACCAGAAGTATTTCTGATTTTGGAATATTTGCAGTAACTTAACTGGCTGGGCAGCCCTAATCTGAAAACTCGAAATCTGAAATGTTCCCTTAAGCATTATCATTTGGAGTTTATAGCATTTCAGATTTTGGATTTTCCTATTAGGGATGCTCTACCTGTACTAGGTTAGAATCTTTTCAGGTCTTCAGATAGTAACTAAATAGACATTTTACATTCTAGGGAAGATAAAATTATAGGGAGGACATAGAGAAGGCTCATGTGAGAGCTTACTTTCTGCAAACTTAAATATATTTAACTTTAATATTTGGATTTTAGTTATTGTTAGAAGTTATAATTTTTGTGTGGCACATTAACAGCAGTCATTTTCTATAACGTTTTTAGGGTTTATAGAGAAGAGCTTATGATGCACAGAAATAGTCTCTTTTTGAAACTTCCCCACCCTATTCTATTCCCCAAGGGACAATCTTTGTGTGTTTTGGGGGGTGTGATAGAGAAGAGGGAAGGGAAGCTTTAAAAAAATTAATGCCCAGACTCTACTCTAGAGCACATATATAATAAGCTGGTACTGAAGCATTTGTATTTTTAGTACATTTATTGAGATATAATTTTTGAGACCGGCTGCACCGCGCTCAGCCAGTGAGCACTGTGAGAGCACCGGTCATCCCTATATAGGATCCGAAGCCACGGTGGGAGCGCCGCTGTACTGCTGCGCTCCCAGCGCCACACTCTCCCGAGTGCGTCAGGGGCTCGGCCCTCCTTTGTTAGCTTATTAACTATAACTCTTTGTTTTTTTATTTCAGTGTTTGCTTTAGGGTTTGTAGTATATATCTTTAGCTTCTCATGGGACCTCATTATGAATTAATGATTCTTATGCATATTATTTGTATTACTTCTAATGCTTATTTTAAAATTAAGTATATATATTCAGAAAATGTCATCATTATAACATATATTTTTCCATGTTCCCATTATAGTATACTATTTTTGTTTTATATTTAGTAAATGTATTTGATAAGTAACTTTTGAATTTTGGAACTCAGATGAAATTCACGCCTTGTCATAATAATACATGTTATTTATATAACCTCACAGTTTCTCATACACAGTAGTCTGGTAAAGAAGGTAAGTCGTGGATTATCCATCCGTTATTTTATGGAATATGAAATAGGCTCTTGGTTTTAAAAAACTTCTAAGTCACACAGCTAGAAAAATGTTTGAACATATATTGGACCCCAGGTTTCATGATTCTAAATCAATGCTATTTTATGTATACTGTTGAGTTCATGATTAGAGCAGGCATAAAGAAGGAAATGATTACTTGATTTTCCAGTCCTGTGATGATGATTCTTTTTGTTTATTCGTTTTAACTTTTTATAGTCCATGGCAGAAGTGCTTGCTAAAAAAGAAGAGCTAGCAGATCGTCTAGAAAAGGCCAATGAAGAAGCCATTGCTAGTGCTATTGCTGAAGAAGAACAGTTAACTAGAGAAATTGAAGCTGAAGAAAACAATGATATTAACATTGAAACTGACGACAGTGATTTTTCTGTCTAGGCTAACTAAAAAAAGAAGAGAGAAGACCGTAATAACTTCGTATAGCATACATTATACGAAGTTATACGATTAACATTGAAACTGACGACAGTGATTTTTCTGTGAGTATTTAGAATTTTTAACTTAATTGTTCAAAAATTATATAGAAATAAAATTCTTAGGCCCAGAAAGACTTGGAGTTCATATAGTCCTATTTGAAATAATTTATTTAAAAGTCATTTCCAACAATAATTATTATTATTCTCAGGGTGATTTAGACTTATACAATAAACAGTAGCAAATTGTTTTTAGCACTTTACCATTACTAAGTATTTTCATACATGATGCAATAGACAAGTTGGGAATGGTTATTCTCATTTTACAAATCAAGAAATTGAGTCTCACAGAAAGTAAAAACTCAACATTACTTTTAGTGCAATTTGTAGAGATTGAATGAGAATCTAAGATATTTTACTTTTTTGTATCCTACTAATAAGAAGCAATTGACACATTGCCTTGATGTCACTAAGTACTCAGGATATATATGTTGGCAAAGAGGATTTGTTAAAGAATAACTTAACCATGAATGTTTCACATTTTATTAAATTTTAATGCCCACTAAATAATCTTGGGCTCTTCAAATATGTGCTTTCTATATGTCAGTGTTTATATAGTAATAATATAAGGCCAGTGTGTTTCTTTTTAAATTTACTTTATTTGTCTCTGCTGTTATTGGCTATTGGGCTCTTAATTTGTATAGGCTGTGGTATTTTAACTTGATAATTATTGTTATTACACAAGGTATGTGTTTTTTTTTCTGGTTTTGAGCTGTTGGTTAATTGCAATATATTAACAAGTAGGAAAATTTCATGTATTGTTCATTTCTTAAGGTTATAATTCTATTCAAAAATTTGTTTTTCTGTTTCTCTTGTTACATTTTAGGCTAGCATGGGCAGTGGGAGTGTATCTTTCTGTGGTATGTCATTGGATTGGAACGATGTCCTTGCAGATTATGAAGGTATTTGTGTGTGTGTGTGTGTGTGTGTGTGTGTGTGTGTGTGTGTGTGTGTGTGTGACATGCAGGGACAGTGGGATAAAATAGATTATCTTATTACATGTAGTTTCTGTTTAAAATAAGTAAATTAGAGTGGGAATGCTATTCCCTTTTAAAAGTCTGTTATCAAATAGTGGTTTTATAGAAATATGTGGTTAAACAATAAACAGTGGTTTCTTTTTTCTGAACAGCTCGTGAATCTTGGCGCCAAAATACATCCTGGGGGGATATTGTAGAAGAGGAACCTGCTAGACCTCCAGGGCATGGAATTCACATGCATGAAAAACTTTCTTCACCATCTCGTAAAAGGTCTGGCCTTTGAAGATTAATTTGAAATTTTTCATAGGAGGAAAACCAGCCACTCTTGACTATTAAGTAGAGTTGCTACATGACCTTTGTGGGTACATTATTCAGGACAGTGACATGTCCATTGAAAAATGACAATGCTTTCCTGAAATGGTTGGCCAAAATTAGTTCTGTATACTTTAAGAACTTTGAAATCTAAAGAACACTATTATTGGCCTTATTGTGTAAACATTTGTGTCTCTTATCCATTTCTTTCTGTTAATAGAACAATTGCAGAATCTAAGAAGAAACATGAAGAAAAGCAAATGAAAGCACAGCAACTGAGGGAAAAGTTACGTGAAGAGAAAACATTAAAGCTCCAGAAATTGTTAGAAAGGGTAAGTTTATTTTTTAGGAAATTATGATAGTCTTCAATTGATGGACTTTTTTAAACTAGACTTTTCCTTTTGGTTTGAGAGAAACTAAAGGAACCATAAAAATAATTAAATTTGCTAGCAAATAAAGGCGAGTCTGCCTATTGAAAACTAGGAGGTTTAATTTAAAAAAACCAATTTGTTATTCATAAATTATCTAGTAAATTGATATTTTGCAGGGTTGACATGGATTATTGAATCTGCATTTTGTCGTTTGCCCTTATCATTGGCAGGTTTTCTTCGGGAGGCTTGTCTGAAGTGTAGAATGACCTGGTAGGACAGTTTTGAGCTACGATTATTGGGTTTCTGGTGTGTGCCTATTTTGGGTTGGTCTTGGCCCCTGCCACTGGCTCTGATTTTTACAACTATGCCTGTGGCTGCAGCCAATCCTTTCAGCCTCAGGAATACAAGCTACTGCCCTGGCCCTCTGTTAGTTGTCAGTGTATGTGCATGGCCCAGTAGCCATGCACATGCATGCCCACAGCTGGCTCTGGCTCCCATTGCCACATGCATTTCTGCAGCCAAACTCCAGAGCTGTGTATGCCACTGGCCCTGGCCCCTATCTACCCAGGTGTGCTTGCTGCTCAACACAAGGTGCCACTAGTAATCCCAACAGCCCTTGAAGGCATGGCAGGTACCCTTTAGCTTTTGCAGCCAAAGATCCCATATTTACTGATGTTGCCAACCTCAGCTCTGTGAGCTGCCATGCCCCTGTGCATCATGGGACCCAGAGCTATTGCACAGCCTACATTTGGTGTCCCACATTCCACTAAGCCTGGTGCAACAACAATATGCTCCCTTGTGCCCCCACTCTACTTAGGTCCTCATAATCCCCTCTCCCATGTGATGGTCTTTCCTTATGCATATGTAAAGTCTGGATAAGGTGACTGCTTCTTTAAATACACAGATAGCAATGCAAGGATACAGGGAACAGGAAAAATTGAAAAAACATGACACCAGCATGGGAACATAATAATTTCCAATAACCAACCTAAATACAAATAGAGATCCACAAACTGTTTGATGACGAATTAAAAATAATTGTTCTACAGAAGGTCAGGGAGCTACAAGAGAACACAGATAAATAATTGAACAAAATTAGGAAAACAACACATGAACAAAATGAGAAGTTCAAGAAAGAAATAGAAGCCATAAAAAAGAAGCAGACAAATTCTGGAGTTGATGAATACAGTGACTGAACCAAAAAATTCAACCAGAGAGCTCTAGCAGCAAACTTAGTCAAGCAGAGGAAAGAATTAAAGAACTCGAAGAAAGGCCATTTAAATTATCCAGTAAAAGGAGAAAAAAGAAAATGGAATGAAAAAGTGTAAAGAAAGCCTATGGAATTTATGGGACATTGTCATTGAACCATTATACATATGATAAGAATCAGAAGAAGAGAGTAAGGTTTGGAGAGCTTTTATAAAGAAATAATAGCCAAAAAACTTCCCAAATCTGTGGAGGGACATACATATCCAGACTCAAGCCCATAGAACCCCAAACAGGTTGAAGATAAAGAAGTCTACCCAAGACTCAATATAATTAAACTATCAAAACAAATAGACAGGGGGTGGGAGGGAAGAAGACACAACAATCACAATAATTCCTTGAACTTGTTAAGATAAGTGAATAGATATAATGTTGATGTGAAGGACAGAGAGGGGAGAAAAGGAGGAATTGGTAAAGGAACACAAAAATCAACTAACTGTATATTGATAAATTTAAAAAAACCCTCAAAGACAAAGAGAGAATTCTGACAGCAGCAGGAGAAAAGTGACTCATTACGTACAAGGGACTCCCCTCCCCCACCACCAGAAAAAATTATTACTGAATTTCTCAGCAGAAACCCTACAGGAAAGGAGACAATGGCAAGATATATTCAAAGTACTGAAAGAAAAAAATTGCCAACCATGAATACTATACACTACAAAGCTATCCCTAAAAACATAGGGGAGAGTCTTTCCCAGACACACAGAACTGAGGGAGTTTTTGCCACTAGGCATGGCTTAGAAGAAACACTTCATGGAGTTCTTATAATAGAATTGAAAACATGATAAAGAGCAATATGAAAACATATGAAAGTATAAATCTCACCAGTAGGGGTAAATATATAGTCAAATGCAGAATACCGTATATATCAGTCCATTTCGTGTTGCTATAACAGAAATACCTGAGACGGGGTAATTTATAAAGGAAAGTGGTTTATTTGGCTTACGATTCTGGGACAGCTGCATGTGGCACAGGCCTCAGGCTGCTTCTACTCATGGCAGAAAGTGGCAGGTAGCTGGTGAGTACAAGCAGATCACATGGCAAGAGGAAGCAATGCCAGGGTCCTTTAAACAATCAGCTCTTGTGGGAACTAGTAGAGTGAGAATTCACACTCATTACTCCCCCCTCCCCCAGGGAGAGCATTAATCCATTCATAAGGGATCCGCCCCCATGACTCAATCAGTTTCCAACACTGCCACATTGGGGATCAAATTTCCACATGAGTTTTGGAGGGGACAACACATCCAAACTTCGTCATTCCACCCCTTCTGTGGTAACTCCACCCCTGTGACAGATCTCTTCCTGGGCCCCCAGAATTTTCTGTACATACTTTGATATCTGGGTGGAGGTTCCCAAGCCTTCCCAGCTCTGGCATTCTGTAAGCCTGCAGACCTAACACCACGTGGATGCTGCCGAGACTTCTGGCTTGTATTTTCCAAAGCTGTGGGTCCAGCCACACCTGGGGCCAATTTAGCCACAGCTGAAGCAGCCAAAGCAGCTGTTGGTGCTGGAAGCAGCTTCTCAAGGTGGCCCTGGGCAGCGAGCCCATGGAGGGTGCCTCAGGCCTTTTCCCCAAGACCATTCTGTCTCCCTAGGCATTTGGGCCTGAAATGGAAGGGTTGGCCCCAGAGGCTTCTGCAATGCCTTCAGGGCCCTTTTCTCCTTCTCTTGATAATCCCTTTCCTTTGTACTAATCTTCTGAGCTAATGGTTGCTGGGCTGCACCGTTGCATGCTCTCTGCTTTTCTATTACTTGGCCATGCTGCAAATTTTCCAAATCTTTATACTCTGCTCCCTTTTAAAATTCTGGCTTTACATCATGCCTTTTCTGCCATAACTCAGCATAGGCTGTTAGAAATAAACATGCAGCATCTTTAATGCTTTGCTGCTTGGAAATTTCTTTTACCAGATACATTGGTTCACAACTCTTAAGTCCCACCTTCCACAAAGTCCAAGGGCATGGACACAATGCAGCCAAATTCCTTGCTATGGCATAGCAAGGGTGATCTTTGCCCCAATTCCTGATAAGTTCCTCATTTCTGTCTGAGACATCATCATCTACATGGTCTTTACTGTCCATGTTTCTATCAACATTCTGGTCACAGCTGCGTAACCAATCTCTAAAATCTTCCAAACTTTCCCTCATTTTTTTCTCTTCTGATTCTTCTAGACTCCTTCAACCTTTGCCCATTACCCAGTTCCAAAGCTGCATCCACATTTTCAAGTATCTGTATAGCAACACCCCACTCCTTGGTACCAATTTTCTGTTTTAGTCCGTTTTGCGTTGCTATAACAAATACCTGAGACTGGGTGATTTATAAAGAAGAGAGGTTTATTTGGCTTACGATTCTGGGACAGTTGCATATGGCACGGGCCTCAGGCTGTTTCTACTAATGGCAGAAAAGTGGCAGGCAGCCAGCAGGTACAAGCAGATCATGTGGCGAGAGGAAGCAAGAGAGAGAAGCAAGAGAGGAGGTGCCAGGGTCCTTTAAACAATGAACTCTTGTGGAAACTAATAGAGCAAATACTCACTCATTAATACCCCCGCCCCCAGGGAGAGCATTAATTCATTCATAAGGGATTTGCCCCCATGACTCAATCAGTTTCCAACACTGCCACATTGGGGATCAAATTTCCACATGAGTATTGGAGGGGACAACACATCCAAACTCCATCAATGTAACCCTCTAATGGTGGTGCACAACCAACCATTTACCCCAATATAAAAATTAAAGGACAAAAGTACCAAGGAAAAGTATAATGACAAAAATTTGGTAATGGACTCATCATATGAAAAGTAGTAAACTCTGACCAAGATCACAAAATGTGTTGTCAGGTAAAAGTGTAGAGTTTTTGTATGTATTTGAATTTAAGTTGTTATTAAAATAGATGTTTATAAACACAAAGGCACAACTTATTGTAGGTACACAAAAGATAAAAAGAAAGAATTAAAATCAAACCATTACAAAAAAAAATCAAATAACAGAATAAGACAGAAATAGAGGAAGAGAGGAACAAGCAAACTGCAAAACAGAAAATAATTAACAAAATGGCAATAGTAAGTTTACCTGTCAGTAATTACTTTAAATGTAAATGGATTAAACTCACCAATTGAAAGGCAGAAAGTGACTGAGAGAATTAAAAACAAGAGCCAGCCATATGCTATCTACAAAAGATTCATTTTCAATCTAAAGGACACATAGGCTGAATGAGAAGGGATGGAAAAAAGATATTGTATTATATCAGATAAAATGGACTTTGAATCAAAAAATTTTCCCAGAGAGAAAGGTCATTAAATAATGATAAAACATCAGTTCAACAGGAAGACATAACAATTTAAAATATATTTGCAGCCAATATCAAAGCGCCTAAATATATTAAACAAATGTTGACAGATCTGAAGATAGCAGTACAATAATATTAGGAGATTTCAGTGCATTCTTTCAACAATGGATAGAACATCCAGGTGGAAAATCAATAAGGAAACAATCAACTTGAACAATACTATAGAGTAAATGTACCTAACAGACATATACAGAATTTTCTACCCAAAAGTGGCAGAATACTCATTTTTCTAAAGTGCACTTGGAACATCTCCAGGGTAGATCACATGTTAGGTCACACACTTGAGGAATTTAAGTATATTGAAAATATACCAAGTAACTTCTTACATCACAGAGGAATGACTCTAGAAAT